GATGACAATCTGCTTAACCTGTTTTGAGGGCCTGTCTATTCTCTAACAAAGCTCAAGTAAAGGAGACCTGCATGCTATACATTTAGTACATCATACACATCTCATTCTGGAACATAACCTGTATCTACAAAAGCAAATAAATGTTTAGGGAAAGAATAAATTGTGGCATAAGGGTGTGGGCTTCAGTTTGTGGGCCAGATGGCATATTCTGTTGTTGAAAGGCCATATGTAATTGATATATAAAGTGACAGACTGAAGCAAAAGCAAAGTAACTATTTTAAGACAAGCAGTCTAACAAAGGAGGCAGAATGTGACTCCCAAATCATATGAAGATTCTGGCTTCTGGCTTTGGGGAAATTTGGGAGCATCAATCTGTAAACAAGATGTCAAAGAATAGCATGTCATGGAATATTAACAAAGTTACTGTGTCAGGTTCTTGTTAAAGATGAAATAGTCTTTTGCCAATTGGGAAGACTTGGGTTTGGGATGGATTGACCTTCCTTTCCTTCTTCATTTCTCTCTCCTGACCTCAACCCAATGTTAAGTTCCCACATCAGAATGGTCAGGAACTTGTCTAGATTTGGATAATTGTCTCCTTGTACTTTTTAGAAATCAACAGAGAATATAGGTATTTTGTGGCAACACTGCCTGTTTCAACATAACAAACAGAAAGACTGCAAGCTATTAGGTTTCAGACTTACTGTGTCAGGTCAGTGCTCATGTAAGTGTGAACACATAACAGTTTGAAATATTGTTCTTTTTGTGCCATACGAGTAATCTTCCTCACTTTAATGAAAAGTTGGTGTTTTGATGTATGGCTAGAATTCTTGAGGGACCCAGTGAGAAATTTACCTGAAATAGCTTATATCTAGAGAGGTGGAAAAAAATACAGCAATTATTTGAGAGTGTTAGAAAACCCATTTCTTTCAATAGGATGCTGTCTGGAAGAATAGGCTGTACCCAACTTTCTCAAATGGCAAAGCTGTTTTCTGTTTGGGAAAGGTAAACAACACGGAAGTGTTGTCTATACAACACACATGGAAAGGATGTTGGGTAAAAACAGAATTAGATAGACTGCCGATTTTGCTGATGCACGCCTTTTACAATCTCAATTATGCAAGTCAGCCAAATCTTGCCTCCCTTTGCACTGTTTAGACACATGTACAGTTTTGTGAGAACTGAAGTGATGTAGCCGTCTAAAAGTGAAGAGCCTCACAGTGGCATAAGCTAAAATGGCTTCTGTAATCCTCCCAAAGGGGAAGCATGGGAGGACCCAGAGGTAACCTCCTGCAGCAGGAAATGGGAGCTTCATCCTGCTCTCGTTGCCAACCTCCTGTCCCCATTTCCTCCCAGCACATATCTCCATTCCAATCTCCCCTGCCACTTTGGCTCTCTTGCTATCACGGTTCCACTGTTTTGAGAAAGCTGCATTAACTGGGCTTGGACAGAGGGCACCTGGCCCAGTCGTAAATTGGACTGTACAAGAAAAGATCAAAACAAATCCATCTTTCAAAACTGAACAACAGCAGATGTGTTTCCTTTTACATCAAGAGATTTTACACACACACACACGCACGCACACACACACACACACACACAATGTTTGCTCAGCCACAGTACAGACAAGATAATGACTTGACCAAATCAATCAAATCATTCAAACTTAGAGTGGCTCAGGAATTTTAGTTCTAAATGATTTGTCAGTGGTAAGCATGATAAGGAAGGGGTGAGGAAGTAGACTGCATAATTGCTTCAATTCTCTGCTTCCCTTTGCATATGTTCATTATCAAGAATCAATTGCAATTTGAGAGGAGGCTTTAATTTCTTGTAAATGAATAGGAAGTGAGTAAGTAAATGTTCGGTGTTTTCCTCAAATTATGTCTTGTAATGTAAGAAAACAGTGGCAAAAAGCCATCAACAGATGGTGTTTTCATTAGCCAAAGATTTATTTTTCAAAGCATTTTCATATTAATGAAGTAAGGTTGAAATTAGAGTCATCTTGTCAGTTTGGGGTTTGTGCTGTTAAAATGTGCTGGCATTCTGCAAATTGCTAGGGGCCAGAGCAAACTAACCATTTGCTACAATTTTGTGATGGTGACCCAAGGCTGATAGTTAACCAGACCCAACATTATGTGTTTAGCCCTAATTTTTGTTTTCAGTATCTTCTCAGAAGCTGTGAGTCTCTGTTCTGGGCCATAAATAAGGAACACACAGCAGGAATCTGAGTGCTGCTCTATATATGAATTATTTATGAGGCATCAATCTCATGACCAATGTTGCAACATGCCACATATACTTGTTAAGCACATTCTTCCTGTGGAATCCCATGTTTGAGTGGAAATTCATTACAGGGCTCTAATACTATATCTGCTCTGTATTCATCAATCTACAGTTTATTTCCATATAATTATAGGTCAGTTAGTCCTTTGTTATGCATGGAATTTCCATGGATCTAAGAATTCGGACCAATCTGCTAGAGGAAATCATCAAACAATTGAGTCCATTACTGATTCCCACTGTATAACTTAGGTTAGACCCTTTCATCAAACTAAGCTCTGTTGTATTCACCTTATGGCCAAACTTCTGAAGAGGAGTCTAAACTTGCAGCCTTGACTTTGTCACTACTGATGTACTCTTTACCCTCTATAATTTGGCATCTGCTTCCAAAATCCTACTGAAACTCCTTTTTTCAAACGTCATCTGCAACCTCTAATTACTGAATCCAGCTGCCTTTTTATCAATCCTCATATTTCTTGTACTCTCTGCATATTTGACAGTGACAAATCCTTTCTTGAAACGTGTTTCTCTCGATTATCCTATTATCTTGGCCCAGACCTGCATTACCAACTGCCTTGAATATTGCAACTTCCTGCTAACCAGTGTCCTTGTGCCTCAGGCTTTCCTGTTTTTCTCTGCCCCCATGTTATTGCTGCTAGATTAATTGTCTAAGTTCATCCATGATTTTGTCATTACTGCACTCCATAGCTCTTGGTAAGCCCCCAATACTTAAAACAATTAGGTACAAAGTTCTTACCCACATATTTAAATCTTCCACAACAAGGCCTTGATCACCATTTTCATACTTGCTCCTCCTCTGGTCTCTTTGTACTCTGTGTTGTCACCAAACGAAGCTATTTTCCCAAAGTTGCTATGTTTTCTATTCCTTTTTACTTTTGCTTATAATTTTCCTTATGCTTATAAATTCCTGCTCCCCTCTACCACTGTTTTTTAAAAATTCTACTTGTACTTCAAGACATAACTTAAGTTCAGCTCTCCTCAGTGTGTGACTGTGATGTGCTCTGAACAGTGTAAGTGCTTGATACGGTGTTTTGTGTTATTGTATTAAATCTCTGAACTACTATTTCTTTTTTCTTTAGCCTCTTTTAAGCTTAGGAAAGATGCCCAAGTAAGTCATTGCTGCCTTTAATTTTTCCTTCCCTCCCCTTATCTTTGCTAACAAGACCGCAATTTGAGATGGCAGTAAGATTAAAGGTTGGAAAGATAACCCCCCTCCAAGGCAAGGAAAATGGAATAAATGATGAAAATCACTTTTATGAGACTAAATCCAAAGAAAAGCAAGAGTCATTCTGGCAAGAAGGGGCAGCAAGGGTTAAGCTGGTCCTTGTAATCCTGTTTCAGAACAAGGAAATGATCTATCTGTGCATATCTGCTGGAATGTATTAATTGAAACGAAGTTAAGGTTATTAGGGATCTATTGTTATTTAATATACAGGAAAGATCCAAGAACCTGGGTTCCCCCTTCCTCCACATTTCACTACACTCCAGGTCCTTCAACATCTGTTCTAAAAATATGGACTTTGAACACGTAAATCACAGAAACCGTGGAGACAGTATTGAAATGATGAACATGATCAAAGGAAGGAATGCTAACAAGAAGTTATAGTATTGCATTTGGAACATATTTATGGGATGTTAAGCTGGTTTGTGTGAAAGGAGAACATGTAACGTTGCAGGCAGGTCCTGTAGGAGAAAGAGCTGCTGTAACTGAAGACTCAGGGAATGCTGAGGAATTACAAAAGCTCATAATCAATCCAGAGTAAAATGACATTGTATTTTGCTTCTCACAAGATATGGGAGCAAATAGCTTGCTCAACTGAAAATATTCTAGAATTCCTAGTACTGTTGTAATGAAGTCATATTCAACAGATCTGCAAAGTGCTCCTAATGTGTTCCTAAAAGAATACCCTCTCTTGTTAGTGCTGGGCTTTTGAAGCCTGGACTCTCTGTGGGTGATGCTTCAGTAAAAGAAGGAACATTGATACTGTGCTTGATTTTGATGAATCCTACCTTTTTTTTTCTGGCAGAGCATCCTGGTTAAATAGAAATTTTTACCATTAAAAAGAGAAACAAAAAATTGAAACCGTGACTGAGGGCTAGAGAACTGGATTCTAGTCCTCTATTTGCCTCATGGTTACAGGAGTAAGACAAACATTTCCCTTTCACTCCGAAGCTTGGTTCTCTCATCAGAAAAATTATTATACCTTCTATTTCATAAGGTTGTTATGATTCTTAAATATTATCTGTTCAATTACCTGGCATGGTGTTTGGCAGATAGTAATCATTAAATAAGTTATATTTTTTATTTACTTACCTGTAAAAAAAAATTACAACCGGTAATACCTATGCTTCATATGCTCTACAGTTACTTTGAGGGTAAAGAGAAATATTAATTACAAAATACTTAGGAAATTAGAAATAGTATAGAATACATGAGATGCTTTCATGTCAATGCAACCTGCATTCACAGGCCCCTTGAACACCATCTTTTCCCCAATTAGGACAGGCTGGAGCAAATAAATGGACAGTAGTATTAACTAACACTACAAGAGTATTTTACCCATAATAAATGCTCTGTGCATCTTTGAAGTATTGAATTACTGACTGTGTCTGATTTCCACTTAATATTGGTTCTCAAGTTCATTGTTGTTTTTCCCCCCCTCTTCCTTGTTTCCCTCTGGCTTCACACTCTGCGATGACAGCAAACTCTGGAGACGAACCTTACCAACCTGGTAAAACGCAACAGTGAACTAGAAAATCAAATGGCCAAACTAATACAGATCTGCCAGCAGGTTGAGGTATGTAACAGAAATTTTTGTGATTCTTTCAGAGACTGTGAATTGGGTAATCCTTTGCAGATGGGGGGTTACTTCAGTTTTTTTTTTTTTTTTTAAATATAGCTCAATCATTTGGGGACTTCAGTTTTGTTCCAGTGTAGCTCAGTCACCTGGAGTGAAAGACTGAATGATAGTTGGAGGAAAGTCATTCATTAGGATGCTTGTTCCATGAAAATTGACAGACATAAATGGTCTAAAACAGTAAATCTGCAGTGGCCATAGGATGGGAGGAGCGAGTAGGACAACAGTTTAAGGGAAAATCGCTTCTTTCCAAACAGAAGGCAGTGTCAGACTCGGAGAAGTCTGCTTTTTTCTTCAGTGTAGTGGATATTATCACCCCTGGAAACCCGAGCCCTTGAGGTTCATTCAGCGTAATACCCTTTCTGTAACAAGAACTGTTTGTCCTCTTCTTAGCCATCTTCCCTTTATCCCCTGCTAGTAGTGTATACTTTGTGTCTTCCCCATCTGATGTCACTTGTTACCTGTCCAGTTCTTGTTATCAATAAATGATGTTGCTGTTAAATTTCTAAGTTGTAAAATTTTGTACAAGTGTAAGATCTTAAAAATTATTACAAAATAACTTAAGGCAGTGTTTAGGAGTTGATCTCAAGAGTTCATAAAAAATAAATATGTAATCTCTGTCTTTTAAGAGGTTTAAAGTTCAGTAATAGCATTTGGTTTTGTTTTGATTTTGAAGAGGTAATGGTAGTATTTAAGGTGTAAATAGAGCTGTATCAGATATGCAAGAATTCCTCATGGACAGTGGCTGGATAAAAATATTTCTGTATGGAGCCTCCTAGTTAAGCTCTAATCTTACTCATGTGGCAAATAAATGTAACAGTTCACATCTATTTTTACCTTCAGCAGAAATATAATTTAATTAACTTATTATGTCTTAATTCCACCTAGAGATTGTTATTATTTTAGGAGATAGTGGAGGATCTTCTTGTAAGGCAAAGAATCCTTTTGTTTTATGAGTAACCATCTGCTCTCCAAACATTCAGGCTTCTTAAAGTACTGGCTTTTATCAAATAGAGTGTACCTGTGTGATGAGCACACCATAGCAAAATTTACTCCCAGCTGGGTACTCCGTTTATAGAAAAGAACAAGGTTATACACTGATTAGACTCAGGTGTGGGTGGAGAGATTTGAGGAGAAGCATAAGAAAATAAAAGAACATTGGAATGTGACTTGCAAAAATGAGTTCTAGACTCAGGTCTTTCATTAATTTGTGGTTTGAATGTAAGTCATTTAGCTTTTTGGTATCAGTGTTCTTACCTATACAATGAGGAGTTGAATTGAGTATGGGATCTTCAGTGCCTTTTCAGGTCATGATTTGTGAGTGATTGCTTTCTGTATTCTGTTCCTTTTCTCTACTGTCTCATCTTTTTCAAAAAGGATAAAAACAAAATAGAAAATATTTTAGGATGGTTATGAGCTCATCAGACTCCCTCTGCATTCCACTCTGTAGCAGTCTCTGATTATGCTGTTAGATGACAGTATAAGAAATCCACACTGGTAAAGGGACAAAAGCATATTGTAAGTCAAAGGCTTTCTTTACCATAGGCGTCCTGTGGTAAAGAATTTGCATGATTGAAGGTGGGATAGCAGTTAATAGTGAATAAAACATGGCTATAAATTGTAATCATCACCTTCTTCATTCTCATCAAAAAAGTCTGTTGAGTGTAGAACAAGATGCAGTCAGAAGAGCAAAGGAAGCAGTTTATTTTCATTGTTCATTCAAGACAGGACCTCTTTGACATCTGATCTCTCCACCCTTGAGAAACTTACCACCCTGGCTAGCCTCACCCAGACTTAAACTTGTTTCAGTCTTCCCAAGTCCATCCTGTCAACCCAAGTTTCATTTTCGGGGCTCTACTCTTGCAAGTAGTAAGGAGCTAGTTTCATACAAACAAGTTATCATTATATTACCAGGGAAGGAGTCAATTTTGGCTTTTCAGGTATCAGGTGAGGTTTTCCTCAACAGTACTTTTCTGAAGTTAGTATTCCAGCCCAAGTGTTAAGGTGGTGACATTATGCTGCCCTGCAGTGTAGGTATTCAAGAAGCATCCTTAGGGATGCTTGTTAAATCCCATCATGCAGGCTGCTGTCTGCTCTGGCGACACAAAAGGTCAACTTTCATTAATACCTCTTTATGCATGATATGGTAGCAGGTACAAAGAAAACAGCAGAAACATAGTATCTACCCTCTGAGGGATGTCACACTACAAAAAAATTTACCTTGATGTGCATGCACATGTGCAGGAAACAGAGACAATGGGATAAAAATGCTCATTGAGATTTGCAGTGGGGGAAGATAGATAATATAACACTGTCTAGCATGAACGTGTATTTTGGGAGTTAAATTCCATAATATGTTCAGTTTAGGATCGTGTCTTTGGCAGGTTTAAGGGTAGCTTTTGGAAGACCACAGCAATCGTCCATGACATCTTTGCTTCTGGATGACCAGATGTGTCCTAACCTTCCTCATAAGAATAGGGCAAATCCAGGTTACTTGATAATACTCATTCAACCCAGAGGCTCTATGTGAAGAAAGATTTAGGACAAGCCTCAGAATCAGAAATGCAATAAAGGAAAGGGCTTGATACTTTACAGTGCTTATAAATACTTCATAAAATGAAATAAACAGTAAGATACCGTTAGGAGAGCCAGCCACTGTAGGGTGATTTGCAATTTTTTTTCCCTTTTATCTATTCCTGACTTGTCAATAGTGAATAAACTATGCTCATAGTGTAAACCCAGCATTTCACATAGGGAAAGGGTGGAGGATACTAGCTGAAAGGCTCTTCTGAGAAAACTAGAATAGTTTTTTTTTTTTTTAAATTTTGTTTTGTTTTGTTTTCCTGTCGAACCTGTTCCCCTTCTTATTGTCTGCAAATGTTTTTGTCATAGATTGACTTCCCATAAAGAGGCCATAAATACTGCCTCCCTAACCCTGTTCTTTTCTCTCTATTCTCTATTCTTCTCAAAAAGTAAACGAAGTTTCAGTCTTCCTATTATTAGAGGAATGAAGATTAAGATCACTGCAGATTTGTTAGCTGAGTTCTATGGACATGTATCTTGCTGAGTTGCTGCCCTGCTTTCAGAATTCTGTAAGATAGGCAGTTGGAAAATATTGACTATTGGACTAGACAGCATGAGAAGATGGTAGAGGCTGGCTCAAGATTCCTTTTCTTCTGGTTAACGAAGGTTATGCTTAGGCCTTGCTCCTCTGGCTACTTGATCTCTATATATAGTTCTTTGTCCTGGCTCATCAGGCATCCTTTGTTTACATTTCCAGAGGAAATCTTTGTATAATGCATAGCAAAGGGAAAATGTATACCAACAGATGGATACTTCCTCTTGGCATGCAAGACCCCATGGCCACGTGAATAATAAGAATTCTTGAAAGTAGCAAGGGAAAAATTGTTATGTACTTATTAATCAGTCACTGTATGATATTTCTCGAGCATACACTATTTACTCAATATGATGGATTATGTGAGAGCTACAAAAGAAGTATATATGGTTGATGATCTCCTAAAACTGTTACTCCACTTCGGGAAAATACAGTATCTGCTAAGATAGAAGAGAATAAAACAGTGTACAATGTAGGGACTACAAATGAATGCAGAGTGGCCCTTCCAGTTTCAGTCATTTAGCCTTAATCTTATGGATTAGTACATTGAGAATATGAAAACATTTTCCTGAGTATTTAGTGGTGTTCCTTCTTTTTCTTTTCTCTTAGACTGCATTAATACTTTGGCTTAATCCATCCCAGGAGCTCCCTGGGCAGGTTGATTTCTTTCTGGGTCTTGACAACCTTTTATGGAGCTGATTGGCACACTACTCTTTAGTGTTAGGGAAAAGAAGAAAAAAAGGAAATGAGTTAGAAGAGAGGGAGTTGTTTCCCCTTAGTTTCGGGACTGTCAGTTCTCTTTCTTTGTGCTAGGTTAATTGCTTCAGTAACTCTTTCTGTTTGGAGTCCAAATTATTGATGCTTGGAATTCTGTCCTTTTTGTTCCTAGTGATCATTGAAAGGTATTTGATTTGAATGAGGCAAACAATTTGGAGTCTGTGTAATAGATATTTGATTGCTTCTGCAAACATTAAAAATATGCTTTTAAAAAAATAATTTTAAAAACACTACTATGGATGATTTCAGCTAATGATCCTTAAATGTTTAAGTGTGTTGAACGATAAGAAGGAATGGGATATAAACCAGTAAATCACAAATGTTTGTTGAAAGAAGCCCTCGACAAAACACTGAGGTCATGATAAAATGAAAGAGTGATTAGAGTGAAGTGAGTAATCAGGGAAAAGGCATTTTAGCCAAATGTTGAAGGAGAAAAAAATAAATTACTCCCTGTGCAGCAATAGAGAGCAGAGATATTAGTGGAAGGTGGAAATGAGCAAATTGTACTGACAAATTGGTACCCTAAGCACTGGCTGTATAGAACTAAATAGGAAATGGTTACTGTACTCAAGAAAAAGCACAGATTGTTTGAGAACCTGACAAAAGAATGTGACAAATAGAATGTGAAGGAATAATTATGGTAATGAAGGTAAATTTGAGATGACAAGCCAATGCAGAGGAAGAAATATCCAAGTCTATTTGAGCAACTTAGGAAAGAATAGAATGGAAACAAAAATATAGATCAAGTTATCTTGGAGCAAGGGTAGAATTCTTGCCAACAAATATGAAATAGAGGAGTGAAGGGAACCACATTCAGGCCCACAGAAAGGTGATCAGCATGGAGGTGTTCAGGGAACCATAAGAAGTTTGGTTCAGTACAAATGAAATATCTGGTAATCATTGCAAGACACAAGTCTTGAGAAATAATTTGGGACAAGAAAATGCATAATTGTTGGCACTTTATCCTAAGGAGGCTGGGGAGTCATAGAAGGGTTTTAAGCAAGTAGCTAGATCAGAATCTACTTTTAAGGAGGAATTCTGTGAC